CACCACCGCTGCCGGGGCGCCGCGAGACACTGAGGGGTCTGTTCTTCTCGTAGGCTGATCTTCGGCACCCTCTACCCCGCGTACTCCTCCTACAAGGCCGTGAAGACGAAAAACGTAAAGGAATATGTGAGTACGGGCTCGCCGTGCCGGCGCAGCGCCCGCCTCGTCCTACGCGGCCACCTCGCAAGCCCCCGGCCTGTCCCCTGGACGATGGCACTCCGGCTCCACAGGGGCTCGGGTCAGCCAGGCCACCCGAGCAGCAGCTCCAGTCTCTGGAAAAGCTGCCAAGGATGGGTGCTCACTGAAATGGGAGGTTTTCAACCCGTAAACCTGGGCTGTTTTTTCTCAGGAGATGCTGTGTGAGGAAGGGAAAGCGGGGGAAACAGTGCAGTCTGGAAGCATATGCAAGTCTAAGACAAGTTCTTTCTTGTAACTTTGTCCTTATTTGTGTCCTTTATAGCTTTTTCAGTACTACTTTTGTTTTCTTCCAAAAGGATGCTTGGTTTGTGGCTTCCTATCAATTTTGCTTGTGATCAGTGTTTTATGTTGGTCAAAACTTCATTCTCTTTCCCTTCTGGAACTGTTTCCCTCTCTCTGTCTACACCATGGCTACAATTGCTAAAACAGACTTTTTTTGTGATGTTGCGTGTTGCCTTCTAACAAGAAGGGATGTTCTAAGTGGATCACTTGAGACACGACCTATGATGTGGAAAAGTATGGCATTAATTTTGGAGTTTTGTGTAGTGATTCAATGGCATAGGTTTCCTGAAGTAGATAGTCTGGATTGCTGCAGCAAGAAATATAATTTTGTTTTTAGTTTCAGTGCAAATGCTAGAGTGGTTCGAGAAAATGTATTTGAACTGCTAAAACTTACATATTAATTATTTCTCCTTGAGAGGACTGCATCAGAAATAAGCAGTTAGGTGTTGGACTGGCATCTGTCTAATTCACTTACATTTGAAGCGCTTCTCTTCCTTCTCAACACAAGTGAAAAGATGGGGGGGAAACCGCAGAAGGGGTAATATCTCTTCAAACTGTTCTTCATGTGAAAAGTCAGCAGAAAACTTGAATGCCGTACTGCCCATTTTCAAATCCAGCTTCATGTACTACTGCCTGCTCATAGTGCTTAAGAACCAACGCTGGTTAGGGTTTGGTGGTGGAGAAAGGTCTTACAGGTGTTTCTGTGCTAAAGTGGTGTCTTGAAGCTTGAGTTGACGCTTGAGACCAAGCTACCACAAACAGTCCATCAGTGACACCAGAATACAGTGCAAATTTTGTCTTCTCTACCACCGTGATAAAAATTCAGGATAAATCCTCCGGCAGTTGTGGCAAACTGCTCTAGTAGCTCACATTGTCCTAAAAGCAGTTTTCTTTTCTTTCCTTTTTACATGTCGTCTTCAGCGTTGGTCAAGTCTACATTCCAATTATGCTTTTGCATTTTCTGAATTCCTTTAAGTTCTTGGTGCAAGCTGGGGAGACTATATATGTTCCATTACCTGAAGCTGGTGATCATCAGGCTGAGCAGCAAAAACCTGACTCCTTTTAGTGGACTGAAAAGAAACATGCAGCCTTGTTTAACCCTTAGTTTTGGAAGGTGTTTATAATCTGTCATAAATAAAAAAAAAAAAAAATAGGGCTTCTTCCCATCTGCTTTCTTCTCTTTTAGTTTCTGCATCTGCAGGGTCATCTGCAGGGACTTCTGGAACTAAAAGATGGATCCTTCTAGTTCATTTAGGAGCTATACTTTTTTTCCTTTGGCTTTAGAGCATAGGGTGAAGGGTGACAGAAGGAGACAAAAGCAAGAGACCTGCATCCAGTATCAAAGATGTGAACGTGAAGTTTATTTAAACAGTAACAAAACAATGTTTTCTGTTCTCAGTTCATGCTCCTGAGCCTTCTGTTAGCAGAGTGAAAAATGAACACTAAGCTTAGACTGCCTACAGTGACCCCTTTTGAGTGACGTCTGCTAATATATGTAAATGCAATAGTTTTCACTAAGAAAAAGCAGACACTGTAAATTCATTGCTTTGTATTTAATCCCATTTAGGAACAAAATGTCAGCCGGAGATCAATCAGGATCCTTTTTTTTAATTCCTTAATCAACTCCTACCTAATCTCTTGGATAGGAAAGTATCTTCTGCACAGTTTGTCATTTTACTGTTCACAACCTTTTCCAGATGTTTCATGAAGATGAGCAGCACAGATCTCAACACTGATTCCTGTGGGATTCCACTGGTAACTTTCCTCATTGTGAAAAGTGGCCATTTATTTTTTATCCTTTGTTTCCTTTTCTTAACTAACTGTTAATCCTCAGTAGTCCCTTCATTTTTATCCTTGATGATTTTGTTTCTTTAAGTGTTTGTATAGACCTGTTAGAAACTATTTAGAAGCTTCATATACCCTTGTCCTGTAAGGAAAGCACTATAGCTAGCACAGGCTTATGGAAACCTAAGAGTTCTGCTACACTTGAGATTTTTTTTTTCTGAAAAAAACCCCATAATCTTAATTTTGTTACATATATGTAGGTATTTGCTAATTGCTTTTGTTGCTATTATTGCCTTCATTTTTCCTAATGCTGAAGTAAGATTTACTGGTGTATAGGTTTTCTGAAATCTCTCACCCTTTTGGATCCCTTTTTGCAAACTTAGATTTATCATTATTCACACACTTCTTCATACAAGAGCTGATTCATGTTGCTGCATCAAGGACTTAATCATTCATTTTGAAAAGTTGCTTTAGATCAGCTGAACAATGCCTGGTCTTGTCCAAACTGATGATACAAAAACAAAAAAAAAGGCAGGAGAGAGCCATAAAATACAAGTTTTGCTATTTTCTGTTCTGAAAAAGGAAGTTTACAATAAAGTGGAAATAATTTGGATTACTAACCCCTATTTTCTAAACCATTCACTGTGTTAGAGTAGCTGGAGGCAGATTAATTTTCTTTTATGAGGAACTTGTGAAGGGTCTTTCAAGAACAAATCACCAAATTTTCCAACACCTGCAAGTTTGGGGCAATACCTGCTTTTATTGTATTTGCTGTAACAAGGCTTGTCAGATGTCATTATTATATGAACATAATTGTTCATGTGGTTTAGTATATGGGTTAATGTGTGGATTTAATATATGGCATTTACCTGATTCAGTTTAGTTATTTTTTCCTATTCTTGATGACAATGAGAGTGTTAAATTGCTTTTAATTAAGGTGTCCTCTTCATTTATCTGTTATTTATGCTCTCAACATAAGTATGTTTCTCATATCCATGTTTCTCAACAAGATAGAAAACTAGCAATTTCCCTTAAAATTCTTAAGTTAAAACTTAAACTTTTGCATATGTGAGTGTATATATATTTTTTACGGTATTCATGATATATGGAAGAGTGTAACTTCTTAAAGTGAACTGATAAATCTTTTTGGATAAGTCATTTGGGACCTTAACACTATTGCCTCATAGTGTTGCTCCAGGGCATGCATTCATCAATGTATTTGTATGTGTTTCTCTATTTAGAGCACAGTAATCCTACATGTTTTCTCAGACTGAAATGTACCATTTAGTATGTGTCCATCTCCATTACAGATTATATATGCTTTCTTTTTGAATCTGTCTTAATGTGTGGAGATGAGTCATTTACACTGAGAAGATGTTTAACTTTTTTTCTGGGTTCTGGTGTATGTCCATTGAGTGACTGCTGTTTTGCAGGTGAAGTGGATGATGTACTGGATTGTGTTTGCCTTTTTCACCACTGCAGAAACACTCACAGACATAGTTCTTTCTTGGTGAGTTCCTTGGTGGCATGTTGTGGGTTTTTTTGTTCCTGCTGTGTCTTTCTTTTGGGTTTTTTTTTTTACCTTTTTTAAGCCTTTTTTTTTAAGCCAAGAATAAACTGTGTCTCCTTTAGGAGTTTTCAATCCCTGTGAAAAGTCAGCAGATTTCTAGATACTGTGGGTAGTAGCTGCCATTTTAGCTGTTTCAACTCCTTTGCTTGCAAAATTAGGGTAAATGCACAGTATCTGTAAAAGGATCTTCATCCATTTATAACCTGAAATATTTCTGAGAAGCTGTTGATATGAACTAGTACAGTTTGAAAAATGATAGTCTAAAAGACAACTTAAAAAAATGGTAGAAGGATGAGACCTATTTTGCTTTGACAGCCTTTTATGTGGAAGAGCAGATCACATGCATGTCTGTGCTGTGAGTGGTTTGCACAATGAACTTCACTTCCACTAGGGATTGGAATAGAAGGAAGCAGATTCTTACTCCTTTCAGTGCTCTGTGTCACGCTTGGCAGTATGGAGGCCTCCAAAAGTGATAATTCATTGTTACAAGGCTTCAACTGAACCTATGAAACAGGGTTTCTTCAGTTGCCTCGTTGCTTTAGTGTTTGAGCTTTGGGTGCATCTCTGAAACAATGTTGGTCTAGAGTTTCATCTTCTAAAGAGTCATGAATTGCTACACATGCCTTACAAAAGTGCTCAGCAGCTTTGTTTCTACCTGTATGAAATCTGAAGAGCAAAGATTGAAAAAGTACAAGAACTTTAGCTTATTCACATAAAGGACTTCTGAAAACAGAAGTTTCTTCCTTCTAATTGAGTCAGTAGAGAATTTGCATTCACTTGGTTGAAGAATCTCTGCTATATAATTTTCCCAGACTTTATTGGGTGAGGGTTAGAGATGACAGGCTTGTGTTCTTCCTGTCATCAGAAAAAAAAAGCTGGGCCTGCTTTTTTTATCTGAGGAGTAGCTGTTGGAAGTTTCAGAAACAGCCTGAAACTGTCCATTCAACTTTAGCAGGAATGTGACATTATTAAGACACATTGTTGAAAAGTTTGGAAATTGAGAAGGGAAATTAATGTAACATTAACATATCGACTGGATGCTCTCTGAAGAAACTTCAGAATTATGAAAGTAGCTATCAGATTGTAATTTGGTGTGTTTGCAGGGCTGAGAGATGCCCTGTTTATGGAGTTTTCATGGCTATGGATGAAAGACTAAATGATACTCGAAGAAGGTATGTCCTAGGATTCTAAAAAGGGTTCTGCTTTTCTGACCTGGATAATTGATTCTCTTGTTTCTGGCCCTTTACCTTGCCTACAATCTTTCCGCCTGTGTTGCTCTCTACTAGTTATCTCCATCTGTCTCTGTGATGATCTTGATTCCAGTTCTCCATCTTTCTCTCTCTTCTCCTTTTTTTTTCTTTCCACTTTCTCTCAGGTTTCCCTTTTATTTCGAGCTGAAAATTGCATTTGTGATTTGGCTGCTCTCCCCTTACACCAAGGGCTCCAGTGTCCTCTACAGGAAGTTTGTGCACCCAACGCTCTCCAATAAGGAGAAGGTACTTGCTTGTTGTTGGAAGATATGGACCTGTCTGGGGACTGACTGACTTATAACTTAATTATGCCACGATAAAAACTGAAATCAGTGAATCTTCCTTGTGCTGACCTTAGTGAAAGCAGAATGATTCTGTGTCTGACAACGATGTCATACTGCGGCTTACTGAAGATTGCAGTGTAGCCAATAGTTTGCCTAATGCGTAGAAAGTGTGCTTGGCTAACCAAGTGTCATGAGCCCTTACAGTCTCTGTCAGTAGTTAAGCCTTTTGAATCATGATAGGAGCAGCATGTTCTGTAGCTGGTCTATTTTTTCGCATTGTTGGTGTAAGCAACTGCTTTGTTTCACTTGTTATCATTTGGAAATACTGTACTGTAATTTAAAGCTGCATTTACACACTTTCTCTAATTAGCAGAGAAACTCGAGTTATATCATCAATGACACCAATGAATAAAGAGTGTCCAGATCAGCCTTGTGTTTTTAAGGGTGATGATGGGGAAACTTTGATCGTGTTTGTAATGAGGAGCTAAATGCCATGTTCCATTCCTAGGAAATTGATGAATACATTACTCAGGCTTGTGACAAGAGCTACGAAACGATGATGCGAGTTGGCAAGAGAGGGTTAAACCTTGCTGCCAATGCAGCAGTTACTGCAGCTGCAAAGGTAATGCAATGCCGTCTGTAACATTCAGGACTTCTCCAGCAATTTATTTTTGTGTAGCAGCAGTTAGGTGTTATGGGCCTGTTAGGGATACTACTATTTGTTTGGCACCAACCTACTTTCCCCTCCTTCCAGTTTGCCCTGCAGGTAATTCCATCCTTGACTTAGAAAAAGTAGAAGGGTAGTGGAGTGGATTTTGCTTTAACATCTTAGTTGTTGTTCTTGGGAGCATACATTTTTCCTTCTCTGTTTTTTTCAGAGTATCCTAGTGGGGAACAGGGCTCCTCTTCTGAATGAGTGATCCCATGTGAGATGATCTTGGTGAGGTGCCTTTCACCCTAATTTTATGTCCTCTTAGGGCCAGGGAGTTTTGTCTGAGAAGCTTCGAAGTTTCAGCATGCAGGATCTCACTCTGATCCGAGATGAAGATACTGTGCATATGCGAAGCCGTGATCCACAGCTGCACCCCTCTGGTGCGAGTCTTCTGGAACCTATTGAAGACTCAGGTACAGAGCACGTGCTGGGCCATTGTATGAGACCTCGGATGGTGAGCCAGCAGGGCTTCCCTGAGCCTTGGGTCTCAGGAAGGAGTACAAGATTGTAGATCATCTGGGAGAAGTTGCATTGTCTTTCCTAGAGCTTTCTCATTTAATATACATCTCTGTACTTATCTCATTATCATTATTTAGGATGGTTGACTTCTCTCTGTCATGTCATTCCTTGAGGATGGGCCATTTTAAGCCTCGTGATTTCTTTTAAAAGATTCGCGAAAACTTTTGCTCTTGTTCCTTAGCTTCCTGTTACTCCTCGGGAGAGGAGAGCAGTGTGGCACATCGGTCTAATGGAACCCCATCAGACACTAGAACAGACCCATCAGATGAAGATGCAGGAGACAAACTTCCTAAACGTACCCAGAGTCTCAAAACTCCTAAAAAGGTGATGAAAGCTGAGGTGAGTTGGTGTACAGATAATTTCCAGCACTGACGTTGATTTGTGAACTTGGTTGGAAGGCTCTAGCTTTATAGTCTCAGCATGTAGAAGCTGTATGTATAAATTTTGTTAATAAAATGGACTGTCTTTGCTAGATGAGTCCTACGTCAGGGGACTTGTCTACTTGCTGTACTTGTCTCTAGCTTTTTCATTTTTATCATGCCTGTAAGCCTCTGTGATAAGCCAGAACCCAGCTTTTCTTTCATTTGGGTTTTGTGTCGAAGGGTGGAGCATGAGATATTTTTAATGTGTTTTGTTGACAATATCCTCTCTCCTGTCTGCTACGGTCTGAATTTCTAGCAGTGGCCTTTATTGCTGGGACAGTCACTTTCATCACTCTTCACTTTTTCATCATCTAAATGCAGCAGTTGTGTACCCTCTTAGGCCTCTCTTGGCTTTTACACATTAGGTACGGGGAATTACACCACTCCCCACCTACCCCATTCCTGGGGTTTTTTCTTGAAGTTTGAGTAACTAGTGATTGTTCGGTTGTCTTCTTATGCTCACGTGATGATCCAAGGTATTTACAGCCATTCAGATGGGGCATGAGATGCCCGATTTCTTATTATTAAAATAAACCATACATGAAAGTAAATGCGTCATGTACAAGAATCATTTAACCTTAGCAATCTTTTTTTCAGGTATCTTCCAGGTATATTTTCTAGAAAATGCTATTTTGAGGTGCTGCTTTCCAGGTCTCGACTCTTACTTGAGTGTTTCTTATGGTTAGATTTGTTGTACATGATAAAATGCTTCTCCCGTTTTATGAAGTTGGGGTCCTATTTGCTTGATTAAAGTTGGATTTCTAATGTTACTCTTTTTATCTAAGATAAAGAATGCTATATAACTGATGCACATTGTCAAATATTCAGGCTAAATATGAAATAGTTTGAAGAAAAGTAATTGCTTAGAGCATTAGATTTTAAGTTGTACTGCTAATCTGATTTTATAGTGTGTGGAAAACTTTCCATGTGCTTAAGTGCTCCTTGTAATAGAATCACAGAATAATTGAGGTTGGAGGGGATCTCTGAATTCATCTGGTTCAAACCCACTGCTCATGTAGAGCCAGTTCCCAGGCCTAGATGGCTTTTGATTATCTCCAGGGATGGACATCTGTGTCCACAGACGCGTTTTAATTTAACTCGTATCTTTCTGTGGTTTATTTCTGAGTTGACCCCTCTTCTTTCTTGTCTACTGTATTAGACAGGAGCAGGGAAACAAGAGGCTCAAAATTTGAGTCAAAGCTTCCTAGTGAGGACTTTTCAAATTGAAATTGTGAAAAGACAGACTGAATTCTTCTATGCTGTTCATTGTGAATACAGAAATACCAATAAAGCCCTTTGCAGGCATATTGATTTTTATGCTCAGACTGTTGGATCTTTGGGTCAGATGTAGGACTTGTAGGAGGTCTTTGACTGAGATCTCTGAGGTTGCCAGGCAGGGATTAATGCATCATGGATGACTAAATGTGCTCTTCTTGCCAATATCTAGAATGAAGGACACAGAAGTAAAGTGTGCAGATTAGTTCAGGATGTTTCTGCAGCTTTCAGAGAACTGCACTGGTGATGGAAGTTAAGAAGCAGAAAAGTTAGAGTAGTGAAATGTTATGTGAATGTTACCAGTTAGAAATATCTGTGCTTAACCTTTTGTGTGGACAGCTGGCTTTGATTTTGCTACTGTACATACCCTGCTTTAGAATGTCTTCTCCTGGTTGCTATTTGATGGATATGTTGAGTGATTTATTTAATGAAAAAAAAGGAAAGGTTAAATAGCCTTTTCAAACAACAGATGATATGAATAAGCTCATGTTGTGGTTGTTTTGTCCTATTTTCACTCTGCATTCTTGCATCTTTCTGTTAGACATTTAGATGTTAAAATAAACTAGCCTAAGATGCCTCTTTCTCTTTCTCCTCAGCTTCCAGTGAGAAGTGTAAAAGCCCGCCCTAAGAAGAAAGCTGCTGGCTCTCTTGCTTCTGGCGAGTCATCCTAAGGCGACCTTCCCGCCCAGCACCTGTCTCTGTCCTAGGATTTGCCTTTTGCTTTCATGGGGAAACTCTCCAAAGGAAGGGAGCTGAGATTCTTGTACATAATAGATACTGCTTTACAGAGCTCATTCCAAGGCAAGGGGGAGGCTGGGATTCAGAAAGCAGAGTAGAGGATACAAATCCTCAGGAATTTTCTCCTTTTCATCTCTCTGTTGGAGGGAATGCTGATATGTCTGTACATAGCCAGTTGCTTCGGAATTCCCACTGTATAACTAACTCTAGTTGAGAATCTTTGCTGGAAAAACCGACTAGGGTTAGAGACATCCATTGCACAGAAGCTGGAAAAATACTAGACACTGGAGTTCCACAGGGTGTGTGGCTCTCTAAAATGTCTTATCTTGCTCTGGGTATTCTCCTGCAGCTGTGTGTGGTTAAGAAGTGTCCACCATGAGTCATATTCCTTTAGAATGGACTGTACCTAATATGTCCATTACCTTTGAGAAAGTGACTGAAGTGATGTATGCTGAGTGCTTTTGAACATAAAGGACTGGCTCATGGGAGGTATATGCTAGAGTCCTGTTACTCATACTGGAAGATGAAGAGATTGGTTTTTGTTTTATTTTTTCTGGAAGGTGAAGGGAGATAATTGGAAAAACTAATAAAGAAAATGTGCTATTAGATGCACATTATATGATGAAGTAGTTAAGAGTTACTCTTGAGAAGGAAAGTTTGGCATCTCTAAGATTCTGGCTCTTTTTGAAGCTGCTGGATTTTATTTCAGGTTCTAATGCTTACTCTGACTCCGTGAGAGCATCAGAATGAGGTGAGTCACGTGCAGTAGGTCCCATGCAGTTCCATGGAAAGCATACTCGCTTTGCCATTTGGTGGTTGAACCCATGTCATCGTGTTGCTTGCTGCTTCAGACAAATTCTTTTATTCTAGCAGATTGGGAAAATCTGTCTCAAAATAGACTGCGGGCATACTTGAGAATTTCAGAAGCCCTCATCTCTCAGCTTTAGGAGAGTCAATCCTCAGGACATGAAAACCGAAACAGTTGATTTATTAACAGTTGAGTTCCGTTAACTTCAGGATTTCGTTTATGGGGGTTAAAAAGCAGGGACTATGGCACAATACTGTGATTAATCAGTCCTCTTGCTTTATCCTGCTGCAGCCCTTGCACAGATTTTCTGTCTGCCATTGTGCCATGTTTATCAGTGTCCTGAGACTCAAGCAATAGTTAACACTTGGGACAGAAAACTACAAGGAATGTAGAATATGTATTGTGGGAGTGAAATTGCAGTGCTGCAGAGAAAATTTGCATCATGCCGAGCCATACTAATCTCTTGGACGTTGCTAAGGGGAGATCCCCTGTACAAATGCCAGCTGAGTCAATGAAAATTTATGAGATATATGAGTAGAGTTCTTGTTATTAAGATCTATAATGAAGGTGCACCATTATAGACATGGGTGTCTGAATGCATACTAGATGGTCTTAATTTTCACTGAAATTAATTATCACAGGAACCTCCATACAGGTGTTTGTGTCCCATACTTTTGCTGTCACATTTCTAAAATTACAGTGAATTCTTCACAGAGAGCCCAGTATTTTGCTGTTGACAAGCTATAGAAGCACTTCTGCAACTAATGCTCCACAAGTATGTCTGTAGCCTTTCAAAAGTTTATAAAGTTGAAGATTAGGAAATAAGAAATTTTCTTATTTCCCATTGTCTTGGTGGCAAATTTTTTGCTCTCGGATTGACCAGTTATTTCAGGAAGCCAATTAAGTTGGGTTTACTATTTTTCACAGCTTTTAAAAAATTAAAAATCTTTACACTCCATGTTAGAAACTTACATATTGTGAGAAATATTTCTCCTAAATTATCCACATGGCCTTATCCAGAAGCCAGTAGAAATTCCTTGATTCTGAGTTTAAAAAAAACAGTTATTCTTCTCTTTTTTGGTTTATTAGCAAACTTCATATTCATGTCTTACTAGCACATGCAATGCATGCAAATGAAGTAGGAATACTTCCTGTTTCCAAATGAAATTCCTCTCTCCAAACAGCATAAAAATCTTTCATGGTTATGTGAAAGATCCAGTCATTAGGAATCGCTTTCCTAGATTTTACTGTACTGAGCAAGAGAGAAGCATTCTTCTCTATATACCAAGTATGTCTATGAACATGTTTCTTGATTATTTTTTTAAATTTTTTTTAATCAAAATTTTGCATAGCAAATTATTTATGTAAATCATTGTGAGGGATTTGACTTGGAGGCCAAGTCTCCCCTTGCACTGATCTTCTCGCCCTTTCCTTGTGCCTGCTGTGATAGTCTGCAGTTACTAGGTTTCCACAGAGTTGCTTTCCAGAATCTTCTCTAGAATCCATTTATTTGTAGTGGCTTTTCTGATTTGAAGCACAGGAAGAATTTCTGAAGATTCAGTTCTGGTATTTGGATTTATCTTTGTCTTCCTAAGCTAGGTTCTGTGCTAAGCAGCTTTTACTTAGCATTGATGCTTGATGTCATTAGCTTGTGGGTAAACAAGGGGAATTGGCTTTTGTTTGCAAGAGTGAGTCTGCAGTAGAGTCAGGGACTGTCTAGTGTGCAGTATGAAGCTGATGATGTCGAGCAGCAGAACTTACCCAGAGCAAGAGCAATGTCTTAGCACGGATACTGTTTTCTTCTTCTAGTACAAATGTGACTGCTAGATTGTGCTTTGCTTGATCAAAGCCACTGCAGATCTGCCACCACCCACGTGACCTCTTAGTCAGTTTCTAGATACAGTTCTGCATTGGATGGCACTGTCTTGCATAGAAATTCTCTTGTTAATGAGAGCGCTGAATGTGCTGTTTTGATAAAATGCTTTTATCAGCTGCTGTTTGGTGTTTTCAGCAGGAAATGCTGGAATGTAGTTTCTCTTCAGTGTCATCTGTGGGCTTCATTGTGCAATTAAGCAAATGGTTAAATCTTCACCTAGCAGTAGAACCTATTGTGTTTGGTAAATGTTTAGAGCCTTTTCCTAATATGCCTGGCCACGGAGAGGAGTGTAATAGGAGAAAATTATTCTTGAAGGTGGGGGCTGAAGAGGGTGGTATGGGTGTGTCAAACTTTGTGTGCCTATAAGTTATCCTAAAATACCTGTACCATGACATACAAAGTTGAAGCCATGACTGCCTTTTGAAAAGAAATGTTTTCCATGCTTTGTAGTGTTATGAGTCAGTGTTCTGCTGTTGGATAAGAAAATAGTGAAATATGGTTTCCTATCTGAGAAACTTAATGATTTGTTGCATAAAAGGGAAAAATGTTTTCTTGTTGGCAGTAATCCTCCGTGGAGAGTAAGAAGTGTGAAAATATAGGGGAGACAACTGTCAGGTTTTAAACCTTTATACATTACCTAAATATCTTTATTACTTACTTTTTAAAAATTGAGTTTGTGATTCTCCAGCTTTACGTTTCTGGGACTGGTTTCTTTTAGACTAGAATAATTTCCTTGGTAGGTAGAGCATATATGAAGAGAGGGGTGCTAGTGTTCTTCAAATTGCAAAGCTTGTTCTGGGGAAGTTTCACCTTCCCTCATTTTAATGAATTGATTTCCGTTCATTGTACTTTTGCAGTGCTGGGCTTTCTTTTATACATCCCTCTTGGAAGTACAACTCCCTCACAACAGACTTTCTTGGAAAGCAAGATTTCTAGAGAACCACAACTTTCCAGAAGTGATTATTTATTCTGTGCCATCTTAATCAGCAGGAAATTTAGTGCCTTAGGAGAAAAGTAAGATTTATATGCTGGTTCTCTGATCTGCACATAGCATTGTATTAAGGAGGCTCACAAGGTAACTGTGAAGTGTCATTGTATGCTTGAGAGCAGCTGTTGAACTGAGCTGATTTCTTTCTGTCTTCCAAAGTTGCATGTAATGCTAGAAAGTGTGGATTGTTCCCTAGGAGAAAAATCTAGGGAAAAAAGTTGTATTCATATGGGGGCACTGTATTGTCACATTACTGCTTGCTGGGGAAATACTGAATGACATCTCTATGTAACTGGTCTGTACTATAGCTTTTATTGCTTTAGGCACTAGAAATTTGTAATGTGCTGTCTGGCTGAGGCAGGTTGTGGTGCTGCTTTGTGAGTTATCTTGCAAAGTCAGATACATGAAAAACCAGGAAAGTATTCCAAAGTTACATGAGCTTGTAGAACTACAGAGGTGTCAGAGTTGGAAGGGGCCTCTGGAGGTCCTCTGGTTTGACCTTGCAACTCAGTCAGGGCCGCCCACTGCCAGTTCCTGTGTGCTATTTCTGGTCTAGAATCTACTGAGTTTAATGTTTAAGACCTTGATAATATGTGCAGAAATGCATATGCTGCATGAGAATGTGCTTTTGTGTTACTGAGGAGAAATGTTTCCCAGTCACTTTTCATCTGGTATTTGGCTCTGTTGCAAGACACTATAAACATAACTCATTCTTATGTTCCTTACACGTATTGTTAAAACACCTAGAGGCATCAAAAAATATCTTAAGAGGTATGCAGATGAAGTTGTGAAAACAGTTGGTTTTAACAGTAGATGGAGGCAATAATTGCATAGCAGCTAAGAACCTGTCTTATGAGATACATAAATAGATAGAATTAGAGTAGAAAACGAGCTGTGTATAGTAGAGAGTTGTCCAGCAAATACTGCTAACTTTCTGAGCCTCAAGCAGCACTTAAACTCGGCATTCTACAGATGAGAGCTTGATTTCTCTTTTGAGCCTGATTTCTCTCTTAGAGTCAATCTCTGTCTGTTTCCTTCCCTCCCTTCCCCCTTTCGTTCCACCCCCTCCCCAACCCCAATCTTCTAAACTGGGCTTCAGCTACATACACTGAGATTCTTCAAACTTTCATCCCTTCAGAACAATAAAGTTTGACTTTTACCTCAGCAGGCAACTGATCTGCAGGGAGGACCAGATGAATATCAAGTATCTGTCATCACTTTGTAGATGTCTTATGCTGGAGAAGTACTAGCAGGAAGCTCCAGAAGATATGTTTGCCCCAGAAATTCTACCCTCTGCCCCCTGCCAAAGCCTGCATTTTTGGGTAAACCAAATGCTGGACTTAGCTGTGCTCATACACACAGTTATCTGTAGAATCCCAAAATTCAGTGTCAGAATTTCTAGTGCTCTATTCCTGATGATAACAGGAGTTAAAATAATATGAAATGAAAAGAAACAGTGGCAAATTGGTGGGGTTTTTTTCCTGCAACTTTGCAGGTAAATTTAGGTCATTGCTATTCACATGCCTAAAATCTTTGCCTAAAGCCCCTTGCAAGCTATGTGTTACTTTCTTGCTCTCTTTCTGAGCTTCTGTTCTTCTGTGAATTGGTTATGTTTTTAATGTTTACTCTTATTAAGCAAGGACTGGCTTCCATTTTACTGACTGTGGAGATTTGAAATATACTGTATTAGAGCTGTAATATAGCCTTTTTTCATTATTTAAACCTATGACCTAGATTAATACATGTAACTTGTACAACAAGGCCTAAGGCCGGATTCCCAGGTGGAACGTAAGCATCTATTGCAAATAGCATAGTTTGATGTATTTCCCTTTTCTTGCAGTGAATTCTGACTGAAATGTGCTTACTGCAGACCCTTTGGACAAGAGCATTCTGTCAGGGTTTAACCAGATAATGTTAGAAGTAACATTTATGGGAATACTGCAAAAATAAGTGATCACTAAAGGAGCAAAAGCTCAAGTCTTCTGTAATATATCTGTCTGAGACTATGTAAAACACTAAAGCATTTCTGGCGGCAGTAGAAATACATTGCTATACTGACTTAGAAAGGTAGGAAATTCAGTCATGGTCTTTGTAGCAGGTTTGAGAGGAAAGTCAATCTGGATGGCAAGCATATAAAGTTTTACATATCAGGGAACTAAGTTTTTATCACAAGTAGTGCTTAGTAGCTTACCAAAAAGAAAGAAGTTGAAAAATTTTGGTGACTATTAAATGGAGAGGAATTTTCCTGATCGTCAAACCTAGTATTGAATATAAACCTTCTGTATTCATGCTGCTGCCTTATTTGGGAAAGCACTGAGTTAAGGGACTCTTTATTTCTGGCTCCTCTGTTAGATTATTTCTGAAATCTCAAATTAGAGATGCTTGGGTTTGACTCAGCATTTTAATGTCGAAGTCCCCATTAGCATAGTGCTAATCCACGAGGGTTGTGGATTACTCTTTGTCCACCAGAGGGTATAAGCGGAACATAAAATCACTGACTATCTCACAACGGTTAGTTCAATTATGACAGTTGAACAGCAATATTTCCTAGGTATGCGTGAAGACCCTACTTGGGGATAAGGAGCAAAACAAGCTGGGGCTCTAATGGAGAAATATGAAATAATACTGCTGTTAACCTCTGACTGAAAAGGCTGTTTAAGCTTTCTGGGCATTCTAATTGAGCCACTATCCAATGCAGCTCACTGAGACAATAGTGTTACAGAACAACTGTCCTCACTTTTTTTCTTTTGTTCTACATTCAAACCATTTTTTAGCTGTAGGAAGCAGCTCTGAAAATGGCAATGTTTTGATTCCAGCCCCCACCAGGGGGCTTCCCCCCCCCCCTTTTTTATTAATTAACCAATTGCTGTGTGCTGTTCTACTTTATACTCTGAATTTTAGTAGTATTTCCTGGTAAGGATGAGTATTTTCTTTTGGTTGGATTTATTTTCTGTGAAAAGAGAAGCAAATTTAATCTAAAAATACAGATCTATCTGATGTTACTATGGTAATTTGTGACCATGGCAACAGAGAGTTAGCATTCTGAAGAATGGGCAGACAGATGTGGTTGGTTTTTTTGGGGTTTTTTTTTTTTTGAAGTCAACAACCTAATTAATGGTGTACTCATTTCACAAAAAGAACCTGACTTTTAGTATTTGTTAGCAGTACAAGAGCATATGGGTCCGAGGGATTTTAACATTCTTACATAGAAGAGCTGATCTGAATGAGCAGACAGTGCAGTGGAGGAAAAAACTGGCTTAATGGCCATGCCCAAGGGGGCAGATCAGTGCCAGAAAGTCTACTCAGGGGCATACCTCGGGTTAGGCCCGTTCTCTTCATTAATGATGGGGAAGTGTCAGCAAGTGTCCTGGCAATACAAAACTGAGATGACTGGCTGGAAGTAGCAAGAGGAACATAGGTTATTTTACCTTCACTCTCAAAACACATGGAAATCCTAGTAGGAACATAACGTAACAGTATGAGATTCTTTCCAATGTTCTGAAAACCTTCTATTTACAACAGCAAAGATGGAGACTTGCAGACTGAAGGAGGATCCAAGACATACCAGGAGGTTTCTGTAGGAAAGAAAAATAGAATTTTGAGTAGTCCTGGGGATTCTTCAGTGTCAGACTTCAGAGAAAAACAAGGAGAATAAAATATATTTAATATGTCTATTTTTCCTTCGTATGATCAGAGTTAGGTAGACCAACACAGTGCTTTTGGGCGGGTGCTAAATTTCAAGCACAAGCTGTGGCTTGCCCTGGTGTGTCCCATCCCAAGAGCATGTACTGCATTCTACGAAACATTTAGTAATGGTTTAAGGAGTTATAGGAAAATAACTTGTTATTGAGGGAGTTAGAAATGGGCATTTGTGGCTAAGTCTTGTACTTAGTGTATTTATCTCTGCCAGTGTAGAGCTAACATAAAGGCTCTCTACTGACAACACTCAATGTCAGTTTTATAGGAAGAGTGCAGATACAAGTTTAGCCAAAGCCAAAACACAGATTTTTTCCAAGCTTTTCCTTTTTTCTAGGCTCTGTTGGCGAATCTAGCAACTGAATAGCAATTATAACATTGCTGCTATCGCTTGCTTATTTGGGGCAATGAATATATTGAATTAAATAGAATTAAGCAGCATTTAATAGCTTAATTTTTGTAAAAGCCAGCTGTTGTGACCATTCTGTATTTACTGCAAGAATATGGTAACTGATGCATGGAGCCATTGTAAGGTGGGAAGGCTATTTCCTCTGAAAAGGGAAAGCAGAGAAAAGGCCAACCCAAACGGAACTGGTTCAGCTAGTGCAGTCTTCTGTCTCTGCTACTGCTCAGTCTATTTGATGACCAGAGGGTAATTTGGAATTAAACACATGGTGGAAAATACCTCATCGTGACACTGTCACCTTTTTACCCATGTGCTGAAGCACAGTGGTGTTAAATGACTGGGTTAATGGAGTTTTCCTGGGAGGGGGAGTTGTTTGAATTCTGTCACTAATTTTTTGTACTCATTAAGTTTGGTCACTTGCTGCAGTATAATGACTTAAATGTACAAAACCTAAATCTCATGTTGTGTTTGCTTTAATACCCAGACCCTTCTTAGGTATCTTTTAACATTCTCTTTTTTGAAGAACCTATTTTAAAGGGCCCATTACTTATATTCTGTTTCTATCCAGAGTGTAATACAAAAGGTTTTATCAATGCAGATGTGCCCTCATTCCTTAGGGTGGCGGCTAATCCTTATTTCTCTTCTCAATTATTTTAACATTTCCACTAGAAGTGGTTTTCCTGGCTAAGTTCCCTTTTGAGGGATCAGGGTCATAAACATGGAAAGACAGCCCTTCTGTTTGGGTTAAAGAGTATTTGGAAAAGGTCATTATTATACTGTGTCTATTCAGGCTGTATCCACTTGCTGAAGATTGCTGATGAGACCAAAAAGGCATCATCTAAGGACTAAATTTTGAACCCTACTTCTTGCTACTGTCACATGTGGGTCTCTCTGATTAGTGGTGCTCCCAAGCACAACTGATCACAAGTCTGTGATGGCACCTCTAAAGAAAAAGTTGCTGTGATAAGGTTTAGTTATTAATGTGGGTGGGGGATAAAGGTTCTGGAGGTTATTTATTCAGTTTTTGTTTCCAGTTTATTTTGACAGATAAATGTCTCAGATACTTTGAATTTAAATCTATATGTGTCATTCAAATAGGCTTATAGATGTATGAGTTGAAGGTATGGCTTTTTGTTCTTTGCTAGCAAGTTTACATACCTTTCTCCCACCTCATGCCCCAGTTCCTTGCTACTGATGCCTGTGGATATTGTTTTTAAAAATGCTGTTTTATCTTCTCAAGTTGTGCTCCTAAATAATTTTAGTTTATCTTCATGTCTAACGTGTTTAGTCTTCTGCCCTTCCCCCTCTCCATTGTTGAATGAATAAAGACATGAAAATGCATACAGAGTCCTGCTATTTCTGCTATGTAAAAATAAGGCAAATTTTGGGATTCTGCTTTGTCCTGGCATTGTTTCCTCATTTAAATATTGCCTCTCAGGCTGTGTCCTCTTCCCAGCTGTTAACTGAGGACTTGGATTTGTATCACAAGTGTATTTGTTAGGTGGCCTATTTGTTCCTGCAGCATAAAATACTGTTGCTGTTAAGCATCTAGGAGACCTACCTGAATTGTAATTGCAAATAACTTTTGGGGAGCACGGAATTTGGAAAGCATATGTGCAAAGTTAGAGAATGATGAATATCTTTTTCTGGATCCATGTGCAGAAGCACAAATGTTTAGTCAGTACTACATAGCTACTATATCTAGGCATGAAACATTAGAGCGGTCAGGAAATAATAACTGTCTTGCATAGCAGGTAGTAAGAACTCAGCTTACTTACTGGAAAACCTGTGGTACAGACAACAGAAAGGGTGTGAAATTGCAAGTTAAAATGGGCTGTTTGAAGAATTTTTTTACTGTAGCTATCAGTAACAGTTGGTCTTCCACAGACACAGCTATTGGCTAAAGTGGGTAGTTGGGAGCTAGCAGTTGTAGTGGCTGGGATGAGAGAGGAAGTCAGCTAGTGGCAGAGTTCTAGAGGCATCTTTTTACTTGGTGTTCTGCTGATGAACTGTGGTCTTGACCTGGAACTTCGTAACAGCAGTAGTGGACTGAGTCTCTGTTGTGGATTGAGTTGAAATCCTTTTTGGCTTTGAAATTCAGCCTAGATTTTTTTTTTTTTCCTCCCCAAAGTAGACTCTTGTGTAAGTGGAGCCTTTCTCTTTTACCACCTTGTTGTCAGTTTTTCCTTCCAATGCGATGAATCAAAGAATCATAGAGCTGGAAGGACCCTTAAAGATCATCTAGTTCAACCCCTACTGCCAGCCTTCTGTCTTTGCAGATGTCCACGTGAAGGAAGCAAATTTTCCTTTGTTGCAGCCAGCTCAGATTGGCCATTCCTAAACTCAGCAGTTGAAAGCTGAAATGTTTATATAGTAAATAGAAAGTGTTTGACTAAATTTCTGGGCATATGGAAAAATTATGCGGTTTTTTTCCTCTTTGTATATGTCTGTAATCTTTCATATCCCCACTCGCTCCAACAGCAGTTGACCTGTGCAGAATGATTACAGGAGCAGTTAATGAGCTGCACTGCGTTTGGACTTTGAGTTTGCCTGTTTATTAGAGTCATTCACAACTCTTGAGGCTGAGCTTCTTCTCCTCCTGGGCTAGCAGGCTCCAGTGGAAATTACCATTGAATTTATGAGTTGCTAGCCCTAAGCAGTTTTTTCCTCATCTTTCATGAAACTGTGACAAGCAAAGAACGCTTTTTGTCAAACTGACCTCACAGAAATCTAAATTGCATCCTCCTTTAGCTTAAGTAGTATTATGTACCTTAAAATTTTAGCATAGTTTCTTTTTCTAACTGTAGAAAAAAAAAAAAAAGAATTAAACATGGGAGGTATATTTCACACTGTTTTTGAAACTGCAGTTTCTGCTTTCTAATGAGTTAGCTAATACACTGTGCACTGAAATTTCCATCTTTCCCCTTGTAATTGTACACAAACCCATTATTTTTAGTTTTTCTTGACAGATAGGTAAAATGAAGCCATTTGAGAAGGGAAGAGGGCTGAACTTTTGTAGAAATTCCAAACAGCTCTGCACTGAATCATCAGTCCCAAGAGCACAGACATCCCACAGAGATGTCAGACGGTCCTTCTGGCATATTAATGAGGAAGCAGCAGAGTTTTCAGTCATGCTGATTTTAAAATTCTTGCTCAGCTTCCACTAAGAATTCTTAGCATTCAATAATAGAACAGTTTAAGCAAATCCAAAATCAAGGTAAGAGTACAGTCCAGATTTGGGCTATTTCAGTCATGAAGTAGGAGGGGAACCTTGCCTCTATTGATGTGTTCATGTGTTACTACAATCATACTTCTTTCCTCAGTGTGAGGAATCAAGACAAAGAAAACCCTGTAAGTCTACCACTGTTCTAACTATTGTGAGACTTTTCGTATTGGAAGATTGCAAATTTTAGCTTACTATATACTTAAGCACTGGTTTAGCTTTCAAAACTCTGAAGTAAACTTTGCCTTCAGATTTTCTTTGAAGTAAGACTTGTGCTTTATTTCGAAATTTTTGTCACAGACCAGCCTTGAGAAACAAAAGGTAAAAAATATGTATGTTCAGGAACAATAACTTACTGAAGAGGTAGGGTGGGAGATGAGTAGTTAATATGTCTGTGACATTTTTTTGTCAAAGGATTTAATGTTTATTGAATGCAATGCAAAAAAACCCCCGTTCATTTACCACTGAAGCTGAAAATTTAAAAATAAAAGGCAATGCAAATGGGAATGTTAACAGAGTGAGTTCAATATAGGCACATTGTATTTCCTCTTATTTTTGAAGTACAAGAGGAGGTGTCGTCAAATTCTTGTATTCTATACAAGTTAATTCCTTGGGTTTCCTTAGTCTGGGAATAAGGCAAATATTTGATTTTTATCATAGCATACATGGTAACTGAAAATACTATAGTAAACGATAAAGCAAAAAAAATCCAAGAAAACAACTACTGCTCTTCCCTCCCTTCTCTACTCACCTGCAAAATGCAGAAATTCTAGAAGCAACATTACCTGGTCTGAGCTACAGACCGGGTCCAGCATGCATGTAGTAATCTGTGGATGCATTGCTGCATATTTGTACTCTACATAATGCAGCATTTCATAGAATTGTATGAAATTCAGTTTGTGATTAACCACGCATTGAGTCCTCAGTCTTGGTGGTGAGTGACAATAAAACACAACATGTAAGTCCAGCTAGAAGGGGAAATTATTTCCTTTAAGAATACTGGTGTCCTTGTACTTCAGTAATCTTCCACTGGTCTTTGGTATTTCTTCATCCTATTACCACTTTCATAGATAATATACACCTTACTGATTACCTGTAAGGTATATAATACATGCCTTATATATATATATATAGATTACCTATATCATAACCATTTATCTAACGTGTCTTGAGTTACCACCAAGTCAGCTCAAAATATTACTTAAACTTTTCCCCTGCCTGCATTTACCATTCAGAGAAAACAGTGGTGTTTAGCTATGTCCACAAATCCAAAACTATTCTGTAACAAGTACATGCAGTTTTTGCAGCACCTGGAATTAACAGTTTGAGAGCAGTGGCTTATAAACTGTCAGCATTGGAGATGTAACAGAGCAACACAGCATAACGTCTTTGATCTAATCCAAAAGCTTCATGGTCAGTATATGATAATGTCCTCACCATCCATGTTCCTGTGATAACGTTCCTTCAGTGGTTCACATTTGTGGGAGGTTCTATGTCTCAATAATGGAAACAAAAGATAGAGGACAATTGTGTGAAGGATACCAGTTAACATAAGAAATTGGCCCTTCCTGGCTCACATATAAAATACAGAAAACTCCAAACAAAACTTCTCCCCTGGGTACACGACACTAAACATCAGTTCAAGCAGCATCCCTGGCATTTAATGAGATCTGGTTCCTCAGATAATAGTGAGATCCTTTGCTGATACCATTATGTAGTTGTCATGGTTACAAAAGGACCAGGTGCTAAATACAAAGTATCAGAAAGATGAAAATGGAGAAAATCAATGTCAAAAAATCAAACAGGAAAGATTACAGAGCAGATAAGATGATCTGGAGATCAGGAAAAAATAAAGGGAATGATGGCAGCAACTAGGGAATTCAACAGGAAATAGGAGGAAAGAAAGTTCAAAGGTAGATAATCAGAGATGTTTGATCCAGAAGCAGACCTAGAGGGAACTTGACATGCATATGTTTGTAATTAATGAAAAGCCTTCAAAGAGAAGGCTGGAAACAATAATCCCTAGCAAAAGTCCCTTTTGGCTTATTCTCTTTGAAGCTCTGTACATTCTCTCTTAAGAACGTACTGTGGAAGACAAAGTTACGTTCTGATACTGAAGAATGGACAGCATATGCCAGAAGGACTGTCTGAATTTTCCCCCCAAGATAATACAGCTAGTAGCACAGGTGAAAAATAGAGGTAACTATATGATGTTGCACATGAGATTCAGGGTTAGGGTTAGGTTAATGGTCTTTGCATAGAGTATTCCTGACTCTGTGCCCTCTCCTGTTGTTGACATTTTGGGCAAGTTTCATTTGAGAGATTGTAGCTCTCCAAGATGTAGCCTCTATGTTCTCTGCCCTGGTTTTGAGGCAGTAAAGGTTTTACATGGCTTTTTTTTTTTTTTTTTTAAAAAAAGTTGGTGAAAGCTAATTGAACCTTTTGTTCTGATGAAAAGAGTATCTGCGCTAATAAAGTGAGCCTCATAGCAGGATATGAGTTAATATCGCAGTGATTCCCTGAGCAAGTGGGTTGGGATTTTCAATTAATTCCTGCAGCAAGATGGGAAATCATGTTTCCATGGATACTGAGCCAGCAGCAGCACTGACACTCACAGCAATTGCAAGCTTAGTTTCTCTAAACCTTGCTTCCTAAGGAGGATTTGCCCCCCTGTTCCCCCTGCTTTGTATTTTTAAATAAAAAATTTGAAGACAGATGGGCATTTGATGAATAGTTAGAGACAAATAATACTGTCCCCTGAAATGTTTATTCACTAGCAACCTAGAAAATTGTGTACAAGAAATATAAATGACTTGCATAATTTAAATCTACAATTAGGAATAAAACAAAAAGTATTAAAACTAGGGGAAGAGAAAGGCTGTAGCCTGTTGAACTTTTGACAGTCACTGAGGATGATAGCAAGGGGTCTGTAAGGACAGATTTATAACCAAGGATGCAGTAAGAGCAGAGTATCTTTTCTAGTACAGGGCTCTAAGTGGTTTCAACATAGATGTTCACCCAAGTGATTGCAGCAATGTGTATATTAGCACTCATGAAAGAAAACTGAAAGAAGAAAGTGTCCAATTAAAAATACAGTATAGAAACCTCAAATTATAGT